GTCTGACGACACTTCTGGTCTGCCACTAACACCTTCTTCACACGATCGCCACCTTTTGTCTCCCGCATGCTGCTACACCCAGTTTCTGTGGACTTTGCTGTACTGCCCTCCAATCTCCATTAATTGTTTATTCTGCTTCACATGGTATAAATCAAGCAGAAAACATTAGGTATTTGAGACAAAGGAGGTTACTTTATCACATTAGCACAATAGTCCACACTGTGTTCACAAATCACACTGGTAACTAGACCCTATAATAACTAGACACTATTATAAACTGTTCAACTTACAATAAGGTTTTATTAAAGTAGTTAGGAAATTGTATCTAGCAAAAGAGAAAAATCCAGAATCTGAGACAGAAAAGGTGAAAAAAGATTTTGAATGACATTTTTGATGAAATCTATTTCGTCGAAATGTAAGCTACGTCCCTCTCTTCCACTACAGGAGACGATTCTCTGGATATCCGTGTAGCAAAAGTTCTCCTGCATCAAATGGTTCATTCTTTCCCATTTCTCCTGCTATTGCCTTGCTTGGATCAAGCGCTAAGGTCCAGAACCTGTGGCTCATGACTATTCAGATCCAAACAGGTTAAATGGCCTTGTAGAATACAAAACCAGACCTTGGTCTAGGAACACTACACGGTGACAGTCCTCTCAGCAAAACTGGGCTAAAAACTGCCCCTTAGGACCCAGACATCAGTTATCAAGACTTTGGGGACAACCTTCTTGATCTGAAATGGCTTATTTCCTAAAAATAATGGGCAGTTGAGGTGGAATTTGTCTGAGATGAAAGCTACTTTCAATCAGTTGTCATCCCACTGTTGTAAAGCCGAAATCCTGCACACTTAAGATACCCACTAGGTACTAGGTTAATTGGAAAGGAAAAGCACAAATTTAGTGACCACAAATAAACCTAAGTTTCCTGATTGTCATCAGTGAACCCTTGAGCTGCCTTCAACTCCTATTAAGATACGGGGAATGATAACAGAGAGTGTCAATTATAGACCCTAACTACATAGAGCTTACAACTGAGAACATTGTGAAGCATCCAGAAGCACGACAAGGGGGCTGGAGAGGTGGCTCAGTGGTTAAGAGCACTGGCTGCTCTTCCAGAGGACCTGGGTTCAATTCCAGCACCCACATAGCAGCTCACAAATGTCTGAGACTCTAGTTCCAGAAGCACGACAAGACTGGAAACCCAGATGTGGTAGTCCACACCTACTATCCCAACACTCAGAAGGCTGCAGCAGGAAGATGAAGAGTTCAAGATCAGAGGCGAGAGGAATGGCTAGGAGGTGCATGAGAACTCTATGCAAGCGTGGGGGCCCGAGTTCAGATTCCCATCACCTTTGCTGGCTACATATACTCTGTGAAAAACAGAACCTGCAGGGGATGAAAACCGGCAGATCCCTAGGGCTCATTTGCCAGCCAGCTTAGCTCGAATGGAAAGCTCCAGTTTCAGTGAGACTGTCTCAAAAACAGAAAGAAATAAAGAGAGAGAGAGAGAGAGAGAGAGAGAGAGAGAGAGAGAGAGAGAGAGAGAGAGAGAGAGAGAGAGAGAGAGAGAGAGAGGAGGAGGAGGGTGGGGGGTAGGGAAAGAGAAAACACTACTGTTGGCCTCTGGCCTCAACATGGGTTAGTGAGGCCCAACACATATGTACTCATGCACCACATATACAAAATAGAAAGATATCCCTTTTATTGAAAATAGATTGTTTTCATACAATATATTCTGATTATGGTTTCCCCTCCCCAGTTTCTCCCAGATCCTCCCCAACTTCCAGACCCACCCAAATCCATACCCTTTCTTTTTCTCTCCCTTAAAATACAAAGGGACATTTAAAATAATAATAAGAGACAGTAAAATCAAACAAACCAGAATAAGACAAAACAAACAGGAAAAAGAACCAAAGAAAAAGCACAAGAAACACACACACACACACACACACACACAGGGGGGTGATAAAAAATAAAATCAGAAGCCATAATATATAACAAAAGGATTGCAAGTTTAAAAATGCCCGGACAAAGCATCATGAGGCAAAAAACAAAAAACAAAAACCTCCCAAATACCACTGGATTCACTGTTGGCCATCTACTTCTGAGCAACGGGGCCTGCCATTAAGTGTAGTTTGTAAAGCAGAGACTCTCCGCTGGAGAAAGCTGGTTTCTCCTTTGTGAGTGGCTATCAGTTGGACATAGCTTCTGGGTTATGGATGGTGGTTCGTGTCTACTTCCCCTCTTGGCACCGGGATCCCCTCTGGCGTCACCTGCTGCAGGCCCTGTGGGTGCTGCCACCGTCTCTGTGTGTTCATATGTGCATCTGTCCCTTGTGTCTAGAAGGCCTTGTTTCCCCGGTGTCCTCCATCCCCTTGGTTCTCACAGTCTTCCCACCCCTGGCTCTAGCAGAGTAACGTTTCAATGAAGCTGAACCACTGCCATCCCCCCACCCCCCAGTACTGGCCCCAAAGCACTCGGGCAATTTTCAGAGAAGGTGGGAGGGACGGGACAGAAAGCTGGATACCAGTCTTATGGTATGTGGCTCATGTGTGAAACATTCAAAGTGCACTGTGTCAGGAAAAGATTGTTCTTTTTCATTCTGCAGTAGTCACTGCTACACCATCTCCATTTGGTTCCCTGCTAAACAGCCTCCCCCTCCACATATGCCAGATGACCTGTGGAGTCTAGTTTCCTATTCTACTCCCACAGAACTCACAGACATCGGATACTACTACATCACATGTCTGTGCCTCCCAGCATTCCATTCATAAAGAAAACGGCTGTTTGGCCGAGCGGTGGTGGCGCACGCCTTTAATCCCAGCACTCGGGAGGCAGAGGCAGGCAGATCTCTGTGAGTTCGAGGCCAGGCTGGACCGACAGCTTCCAAAACAATACAGAGAAACCCTGTCTCGTAAAAACCAAAAAAAAAGAAAAGAAAAGAAAACGGCTGTTTAAAAAAAACGCACACAAATTACTGCAAATACGGCAAGCAAGGGGCTTGAAGAAACAGCATCTGTATCATAGGAAAATGGATTATTATATGACTAACATGCACTTCAATTTTAAATGATAAGTGACTTCCTGATTTTTTTTTCCTTCTTTTTGTTTTTGAGAGAGGATTTCACTGTTTAACAGCCTTGCCTGTTCTGAGACTAGCACTGTAGACCAGGCTGGCCTCAAACTCACAGAGATCCACCCACCTCTGCCTTCTGAGTGCTGGGATTAAAGGCGTGTGCCACCACTGCCTGGCTAACTTCCAGATTATCTTACTTAAAGCTATTACAGGAATTCAAGCTTAAATAGGTTGGCCAGTCATCCCTCCCCCCACCCCCAGTTAAAATTCACCCCTCCTAACATCTGAAATCGGATTTAGCCATGCTGCCTTGTCACCTTTCAAGTACTCTTTTTTTTTCATTATTTCTTCTGTAAAATTATTATTCTAGTTGATGATCCAGATTTCCCCTTCCTCAGAAGTAAATCCGACAAGGTGGGCTAGGAGGTCTGAAGGTGCGCACTCTGCAGAAGCAGTAACCCACAGGTGAGGTTTGGGGACCCTGATAGGTGGATGATAACATCTCAACTCTGACCTGACCGGCCATTCCCACTTCCTTCCCTTCCTGCATTCCCTCCCAACCACTGAGTTCCTTTTTTTAATTTCTTTCTTTTTGCTTCATAAACACTTAACCACTATCTAAAAGTAGCTTATCTACTGCCTAGTCCCCCCACAGGAAGGAATATAATCTTTAGTGACTAGGACTCTTATGTGACTTTCTAATTCAACCCAACCTTCCAGATCATGTAAGCCTTGGTTTGTAAAAGCTGCTAAATAAATAAGTACTGAACTCTGTTATTTAAGAACTGTGATGTGCCTTACAGATAGATCCCTAAGCAAACTGGTCAAGTTTTAGGGTCCTTACTTCTTATTAGAAGTGGAGAAAGAGTAAAAAAGGAAGAACGCATCTACTTACCTACCCTAAGTTAAAAATGAAAAAACGTACAATTAACTCAAAGTTTTTAATCGAAATAGACAGTGTTAATTTTTTGAGAGTGCTGGGGTTTCCTGAGCCTACTGGGTGAGGATGCCACTCAGAAGTGATAGGCTCTGAAAAGTCATTTTGAAGAGTAGAAAGTTCTTCCGGAAAGCAGTGAGTGGCTGGTACCATCAGCAAATACAAACCCTGGGACAGCAGTCATTGTAACATTTTTATGAAACTGAGTCACTGCCATTCCCCTGGCCCCAAAGTCCTAGGGCAATTTCAGTTTTATGATGATATCAACCAGCCACGTTACGGTAAAATGAAGGTCCTTTTAAAGGGTTATTATAAGTAGACGGGAGGTAAAGGCTATTATAAGGCAAACGGGAAGCCCGCACGAAGGAGGGGAAAGCATTTATTTCCTGAATTCCATACCCGCAGCAGTGATGTCCTACACCTCGATGAGGATACAGCTTTTCCTCTTAGCAAACCAAGGTGTTTCCTTGTAGTACCCCTCCTCCCCGCCCCGACTTCAAATCAGACATCATCCTAAACTGCATTACTTCTTAACCAACATGGTGGAAGACAGGACACTGTAGGTACAAGTACACCGGGCCTAAGAGCGAGCTACCCTGGGGGACCCGGTGACCTAACCAAGTTTTCTCTTCCGGAAACCGCCATAAAGTTATCTCCCACCCACCACGGATCGAAGACCCAAACACGACCACCAGTGCCCAGTGCCACGCCTCACACGCGTCCTACGGGTGCTGTGCTCGCGATTTTTCTCCAACCCTCACCAAGTGCACCTCAACATCGGAGACCCTTCCACCGAGTGCTCCGAGTTGTGGCGGAGGATTTGCGGGGAGAGAATGAGTAACTACAGTGCCTAAAACCGCGCGCGTGGCGAAGCTCGCACCGCCCAGCCTTCCGCGGGCTTCAGCTGCGGGAGGGCCACCCCGAGGGGCCCCCCGCGGTCTGCGCGCGCGCCAGGCCGCGGGCACGCGACGGAGCCGAGACCGGTACTCACCCGCAGCGGACAGCGGACGGCCGCGGCCAGGCGGCTCCAGGAAGAGACGAAGTCCGGCGGCCGGGCGCGCGGGCTCCAGTAGACGAGCGCGATCAGAGTCCCCAGCAGCCAGGCTGCCGCGGCGCCGCTCAGGTACAGACTGAGACGCAGCAGTAAGGCGCCCGGCCCGGCCCCCGCCGCCGGTCCCCAACCCGGGACCAGGCAGCACAGCGCCAGCGCGGCCACGGCAGCCACGGCCGCGGGTCCCCGCCAGCCCCCGCCCGGGCCGTCGGCCGCCCGCCGCCCGTCCGCGGAGCCCGGAGCAGCACGGCCGGCGTGTGCGGCGGGCGTGGGGCCGCGGCGGACGCCGCTGCTGTCGGTGGCATCGCGGTGCATGCTGCTTCCTGGGCCGCTGGCGACAGGCTCATCTCCCGGCCCGCTGCCCCCCGGCGCCGCCCCGGGCCGTGGCCTGTGCGCGGCGCCCCGCCGCCTCGCCGCTCCCGCCGCCGCCGCTCGCGAGGCGAGGGCAGCCCGCGTTCATGCCCTCGCCGGCGGCCCTGCGCGGGAACCGCTCCAACAGACACCGCCGCGCCCCCTTCCCCCTCGGTGCCGCCGCCCCGCGCCGGGCCCCGAAGCTGCCCGCCGACCGGGCGCGCCCAGGTAGCGGGACCGTGAGGGAACTGGAGCCCCACGGGCTGGAGACGCGCGGGGGCGGGGGCGGGAGCTGCGGCTGAGTGACAGTGGGGCGGGGCCGCCCCGCCCACCCGGGGGCGGGGGCGGTGGAGAGGGGCGCGACCAATCGCAGCGGACCCCGCTATTTTCCCGCGCCCCGCCCCCGCCCCCGGGGACGGCGTCTGTTCGTGGAAAATTTTGCTGCAGGTGTCAGAAGTATGAGTACTTCTCGGCTCAGGTGCTCCCTTAATTTTCCCCCTCCGCTCCTCGCCTTGCCTACAGCCCCGCGCCAGGCGTCTGCCTTCTTCTCTCGTTCCCTTCCTGATCCTTCCTGTTAGTAGTTCCTTACCACCTCCGCTTTCCGACCCTGCTGCCCAAGGGTAGGGAACAAGCCAAAACTGAAAGTCAGTAAAGCCTTGTGGTTCTTCCTTACTTATGGGAAGGCTCCCAGAGTGTCCGCGTGGTGCCAGAGAGTGTACACAGCTGCCATAATCATTTTGGCTCCGATTCTGTGTTTTTTGTTGCCAACAACTACTCGGTACAAAAGTTGTTACCCACGCAAAAGAAACTGGTTCAAATAATTTGGAGAGTACATGTTTCCCTCTTCCGTTTTGGTCGCAGCCGGTAGTATACAGATGATGTTTGCTGAGAAGATAAACGTCCAAATGCTGCTCAACACTGTGACAGAGCTGCCAACACCGATAAAGCAACACTGTCTTAGAGGGCTGACAGAAATAAAGGATTTCTGAAGAGACTGGGAGGAGAGAAGAAATATACAAGGCCAATAAAGAATTTAAAAAAAGGAAGTTTGAGAAAGAGTGAACCTAGAAACTCCCCCATAACAATGAAAGGAAGAATTCCAAAGTCTTTAACTTGCACTATTTTGTTTTGAGACAGGATTTCTCAGGGTAACATTGACTGTCCTAGAACTCACTATGTAGACCAGGCTGACCTCGAATTCGTAGAGATCCACTTGCCTCCGCTTTCCCGGTGCTGGAATTAAAGATGTGAGGCCTAAACATGCACTGTTTTGGAATAAAACAGTGATTTTATTATATTTTATTTAGATTGCTCTCTGAGAAGCAGATAAGTAAAATAAAAATTAAATGTAGTGGCAGATATTGAGGCTACACTATTTAGGGTTTTTTTCTGCAACTAGCATTTTGCCATTTCATCAAAAAAGTCAGGATACTCATGAAGTAAAACACTTACTTAAAACAAAGGGTTTCAGACAAGGTTATTATTCAAAACAGAAGACTCAGGTCGCTTCCAAGTTTTCATAATACATTTTCCCAGAGGCTTATAAATTTCAAGTAGGAGATGAAATCAGAGACTTAAAAATAATCCCTAACATTTCATTCTAATAGATGACTATATAAGTGAGCAATTTTCTGTAACTATTTAAAAGTAAGTATGGTTTCGTGTTTGTAAACCTTTTTAAAAGGATTTTTGGATTTTATTTATGTGAGTGTTTGGCTTGCATGTGTGTTTGTGCACCGTGTGCATGCCGTGCTCACAGCAAGAAGAGAACATCGGTGCCCTGGACCTGGAGGGTAGGAACAGCTCTGGGCCACCGTGTAGGTGCTGGGGACTGAGCCTGGCCCCTCTTTAAGATCACTAAGTGCTCTTACACTGAACTCTCTCCAGGCCCAAGCTTTTTGCTTTTCAATATTAACTGATGTTCATGGGACATTTCATTACAGGCTAAGAAAATGTAGGGAGATGAGTGTCTCATGCCAAATGTGACAACAGTGAAAAGCACTAGGCATGCCATCACTACCCCCAACAGATACTGTTGAGCCTAATGACACATGGGGAAATTGAGGCACCAGAGACAATTAACTTGATAGCATAGTACACATGAGAGCTAGAATTTGGTGTCACTCCACACTTCAGTTTGTACACTAACCCTCTGTACCACAGCAGTTCTGAAGAACTCAATGATTTTATCATCTCACGTTACAAAGCAGCAAAAACTGGATTTAATAAATCCATGTGTCTAAGACTAGTTAGTGCTCCATACTTTAGAATGTCTAGTTCCATTGCTTTGTGGGAACAGCAGCACCGTTGTAAAGGGAAAACTGGACCTACATTTCCTACACATCAAGACCACAGTCCTGCAGAAAGTACATGGTTCCCAAGAGTAATGCAGGACTGGAGATGGGTAAACCCACAGTCAGAAAACTGCCTCAAAGCACACTCTTCCTGCTGGCCAGCACTGATGCTTCATACTTCCTCCATAAGTAGAGTTAAGCCTCTACTCTGTGCGTGGTTGGAGGATCACTGAGGAAAGACTAGAAAGGACCGAAGGGAATAGCTGACATTGGAAGGCACTGAGGAAAAAGGCACCAAATCAGATTCTAAATTAGAGTTGAAATGTCCCTCCCCCCAGTCACTGTTGAATCCTCACAGTTCTTTCGAAACCGTTTGCTATATACTTTATGTATACAAGTGTCAGCCTAGTATAGGTATGTGCACTGTGTTTGTGCCCACAGAGGCCAGAGACCAGAGTAGAGCATCAGGTCCTCTGGAATTTGAGCCACCTAATGTAGGTGCTGGGCACCAAACCTGGGTCCTCTGGAAAAGTAGCAAGTGCTCTGAACTGCTGAGCCACCTCTCCAGTCCTAAGTCCCACCAGCTTTCAGGGTTTAAAGAGCAAATTAAGAAGTAATGTCTTATCTATATTTTTATTGCTAGTGCATTCTGACAGGTTATAATCGAATGCACCATGAGGCTTCATCATCTTGAAGAAATATAAGATGGTAATGGCTTCTGACTGACAACCCAAGAGTAAATGAAGATAGGAGGAACTAACCATTTTGAAATGCCAGACAAAGCAGGTGTATACCATTGATCTTTGTCTAAGAATGGATTAGTAATGTTTATAGAACGATTTTCCTCTAAATTGTAGTGAGTGGGGTTTCATGTTAGCAAGTAAAAATGTTCATGTTGAAAACTTATTCAGAGTCAGAAAGTGAGAGATTTTGGAACAGTCAGCCCTAAGTGGGATGTCTCCATCAAATCCCTCCCATCAGAGCTAAGGAAACCCTGTGGAAGAAGAGGCAGAAAGAATATAAGAGCAGAGGGAATGGAGGGCACCAAGAAAACAAGGCCCTCTAGACCAACATGAGCAACGTCACAGGAACTCACAGAGACTGGGCAGCACACACAGGCCTGCACAGCCGCATCAGGTTCCGTATCAGGGAGCCATAAATGTTATGGCTTCCAGCTTAGTGTTTTTAAAACACAGCTGAGTGACTGAGCGAGTGAGGCTTTGATTCTTGTGCCTTCTCTTGGACTCTTTTCTTTCTGTTTGTCTTGTCCAACTTGCTGTGATTATTTTTTATTTTGTTGTAAGTTAGTATTATCTCTTCTAAAGAGAGACAGAGAGGGAATGGATTTGGATGGGACAGGAGGTGGGAAGGACTGGGAACTGAGAGCAGAGGTAAGGATAACCGTAATTGGGATGCATTATGTGAGAAAAGAATCTATTTGAAATAAAGGGGAAGAAAAGAAAACTTAACCAAAGTCATTCATCTTTAAAAAGAAACAGATTTTAAATTACTGAAAGCTAGATCACCTTATATCAGGACAAATAATTATCAAGGTATAGCACAAAACTGGACACATTTTCTATTGACTTGAAATCCAGAGACAGTGGTGTCAATTGTCTTTGCATTATGAACTAACTCCAAATAAGTCACCTATTTACTCAGTTCTGTAGGTCAGATGTGTGGGTTGATATCAGCTGCACTCTGCTCTTCCAGGCTGGATCTTTAGTGGAAAGGCAGCCGACTAACACACACCCTAGGAGACTATGTGTTCTTACCCTCCAAGAGGTTCGCTTGGGCTTCTTCATATGACAGTGTCAAGGATGCAAATCTAAAGGATTTCTTAAAGCTGTTGCTGTGTTATACTTGTCCCCATTGATGCCCTCAGGAGAAAACAGGGAGCAGTGTGCATGAAGGGGTTGTTTAATATTTACATTTGTGTGTATATGTGTGTGGGGGAGTACCCTAAGTTGCTAGAGACATTGGACCCATGGTGCTAGAGACATAGGCCATTGTAAACAATCAGATTGTGTTCTGGGAACTAAATTCAGGTCTCTGGAAGAGTGACAAATTCTCTTAACTACTGAGCCATCCCACCACCATCATCCCTACCCCTGCATGACAGGTAAATAGAACTCATTTGTTTAGCCACAATTTGACAGAATACATTAATCAGTCTTTGGTGAATCATCAGGCTAGTGATTTGTTACTAAAGATATATCAAAGTTCCCATTTATGGCCCTAGGGATCTATAATCCTTATAATCTGGTCCCTTCCATTGAGTGGGGACAGCATCAGAGGGCACAGAGAACTGGTATTTATGCTTGCTTGTTGTGAAGTTGATAATGTAGGTCCTAGCCCTATAATTTAATTTTTACTAATACACTAATATTTTCAAGTTACAAAACCTAAAAAATCCAGGCATGGTGGCACACACCTTTAATCCCAGCACTCAGGAGGCAGAGGCAGAGGCAGGAAGACCAATGAGTTTGAGGCCAGGGAGGTCCAGGACATACAGGGCTACACAGAGAAACCCTGTCTCACAAAATCATGACAAAAACAAACAAAAGTAAACTCAACTGGACTTTGATATCCAGTATGTGATTGGCAAGTTGTAAATTAAGACTATTAGTTATCTTTTTTTTAATTTTCAAGACAGTGTTCCTCTGTGTAACAACCCTGGCAGTCCTGGATGGAACTCGTTCTATTGACCAAGCTGACCTCGAACTCACAGAGATCTGCCTGCCTCTGTCTCTGCCTCCTGAACGCTGGGATTAAAAGTTGTTCACAACAGCCCAGCTGACTACTTGATACCTTATAATCCCCAAATGCATAGGGGTTAGTTAAGCTTTTTGAATCCTCTAGGTGCTACTTCACTGTATTTGTTGAGGGTAGAGAAAAATTGATCCCTAGGGTCTGAATGTTTCAAGTTTCCCTCCACATTCCTATGTTGAAGCCTAATGACCAGTGATTGGCTATTAGAAGGTGTGAGTACAGGAAATAATTATGTCATTTATACAGCCTGTATGGATGATGTTATCACCTATTAAAAGGGGGACAGAGGCTGTAGAGATGGCTAATCAGTTGAGAGTTCTGGTGTTCTTCCAGAGGTTCAGAGTTGATTCCCAGTATCCCTAGGTTGGCTGCTCTTCCAGAGGACCAGGCTGAGATTTCCAGCACCCACATGGCAGCTCATAGCCATCTGTAACTACAGTCCCAGGGCAGCCGACACATTCTTTTGGCTTCCTTAGGCATGGCACCCAGGCAAAATACCCATACACATAAAATATAAAGGTTAAAAAATGTTGTAAGGGGGCTACGACCCAGGTGTGGTGGGGGCAAGCCTGTAATCCTAGAATTAGAGGAGGATCAGGAGTTCAAGGTCATTCTCAGCTACACCATGAGTTTGAAGACAGCCTGAGCTCCACGAAACATTAAGAAGACAAGACAGCTGCCTTGACTCTTACACCAAGTGAGGGGAAACAAAGAAGGAGCCATCTCTGAACTACAAGTCAAGACTTCATTGCAGCCCGTATCTGCTGGCACCGTGGCCTCTGACTTTCCTTCCTCCAAAACAGAGAGAGGAGCTACTCACTCTACAGAATTTGTTACAACAGCCAGAAGGACAAACACTACTGATGAACCAAGACTTAAAAATTTTAGTCTCGGAGAGAATCAGAAGCCAGATGTTTTTTATTGTAAAATACACAAAGCAGAGAATTCACCATAGCCACCTTCACACCATGTAGTAGTAAATACATTCATACTGTACAACTATCACTACTAGCTGGGCGTTGGTGGCGCACGCCTTTAATCCCAGCACTTGGGAGGCAGAGGCAGGCGGATCTCTGTGAGTTCGAGGCCAGCCTGGTCTACAAAGTGAGTTCCAGGACAGGCTCCAAAACTACAGAGAAACCCTGTCTCAAAAAACCAAAAAACAAAACAACTATCACTACTATCCATATCCAGAAATTTTTCTATCAGAAGCCTGTAGGGAAACTCTGCCATCAACTTCCTTCTGTCCCACAATCCCTTCGCACTTACTGTTTTGTTCTCATGGATTTGACTATTCTAAGCCTCATAGAAATGGAATCGTGTATTTGTCTTTTCTGGCTGGCTTATTACATTTAGCACAGTATCTTTAAACTTCATGTCGTAGCATGTATTGGGATTCTGTTCTTTTTGTGGTTGAACTCAGGTTGTTTCTATATTTTGAATGTTGCGAATAATAATGTTATGAATCTGAATGTATAAATATCTTAGATGTTGCTTTGAATTCTTTTGGGCATATATCCTGAAATGAAATTGCTAGATCATATAGTTCTATTTAGTATTGTCAAGAAAATATTATAGAATCTCCAGTCCTGCTGATTTGCATATCCATTGGGTAAAAGGTTTCCAATTTCATTGAGTCTTTGCCATCTTGTTGTCTATTTTAGTTTTTGCTAGAGGTTTTTTGTTTTGTTTTTAAATTTTATTATGTATAGTGTTCTGCCTGTGTGCCAGAAGAGGGCACCAGATCTCATTGTACATGGTCAACAGCTACCATGCAGTTGCTGGGAATTGAACTCAGGTCCTCCGGAAGGGCAACCAGTGCTCTTAACCACTGAGGCACCTCTCCAGCCCCCTCAAGAGGTATTTGAACTGTGCCAGTAGGGCCAAAGTGTGTCCTGTGGTTTTGTTCTGTATATTTGCTGTGTGGGTACAGGTGTGTCATAGTGAAGTTGCAGAGGTTAGACAGCAACTTTGAGGAGCCACTTCTTTCCTTCCAGGATGCAATCTGGGAATCAAATTCAGGCTGTCAGGTTTGCTTTGGAAATATTTTTTACCAGTTGGATGTCTCCCTGGCCCTGGACGTTGCATTGTGTTCAAGGATGTACTTCTGATCTTCTGGAAAGCATGTTTACCCACCAGACATGGCAATCTCATAAGACTTCACTGATTTTGACATGCATTTCTTTAAGGCATAGTGTCTTAGTTACTTTTTTATTGCTGTGACAAGACACCATGACCAAGGCAACTTATGAAAAAGCATCTTATCAGGTTTCTAGTTTCAGGGGTATTAGAGTCCATGATGGCAGAGCAGAGGCACAACTGGAGCAGCTGAGAACTCCCTCCTTGATCCAAAAGGCAGAGAGGCACGCTGGGAAACAGTACAAGTCTTCTTTCTGAGACCTCAAAGCTCACCCCTAGTGTCACAGCTCCAACAAGGCCACACCTCCTAATCCTTCCCAAACAGTTCCACCAACTGGGGACTAAGTGTTCCAACGTATGAGACTATGGAGGTCATTCTCATTCAAACCAGCACACTTAGAGAAGTTGCCATGTTTCCCTGTGCTGTTGGCTATTTGTATCTCCTCTGGAGAAATGTCTACTCAAATACTTCATATCTACCCTGGAAATCAGTGCCAAAGTATTTTCACTAAGTAAAATTGAGTGAAATCCCCTCTCTTAGCCAACAAAATGAAAAAAAAAAGTTTCTCTTTGTTAGTAATCAGGACCAAGAAAACATAAAATGCATTCTTCACAGTAAGAGTTCTTTCTTGATTGTGCCAGCTGTGATTGTGATGGTACACACACATTTGATTAGAAACACCTAGGGAATTAGTGAAGCTCACCCTCTGGGTGTGTCTGTGAGGGCGTTTCCAGAGACATCAAGTGGGCTCTGATCTCATCAATGGAGTGATCCTTGATGGATTCATAATATACTAGCATTATTAGCAGGCAGTGAAAGAGAGGAGGCGGGGCTTAGGTGGAGGGAGGTCACTACAGGTGTCTCTTGAGTTATACCTTGCCCTGGCCAATTCCTGTGGGGCAGTCTCCAGCCTCACGTTTACATAAACTGCTCTACAGTGCCATGGAGGACTGAACCCTCTCAAAATGTGAGTTGAGCACATCATTCTTCATTGTGTTAGGTATTTTGTCACAGCTCTGACAAAACAATGCAGTGGCAGTCCTAGGATATAAGGCTAATTCTGTGCTTGCTTTCATTGCATTCTCATAGAAGTGCTGAGAGCTGTAACAAGCTACCACAGTTAGAGGTAGAAAACAACTCCGATTTCTTTGGATTAGGGTTGTGGAGGTCAGAAGTCTAAAATCAAGGCAGACTTGAGTTCTTTCGAGGTAGAATCCATTTCTTCCCTCTTTGGCTTTTCAGAGCTGAATGCAATTCCTTGGCTCACTGACTCTTCCCCTGTTGTGTCACAGCTCCTACAGCTAACTGACTTGGAAGTCTGCTTCTCCCTGGTAGGGACACTAGCGATTACACAACGGGCTCCAGGATAATGTAAATTTAATTCCATCAGCTAAATTTCCCGTGCCGCATAAAGTAACGTATTTGTGTACTCTGGTGATGAGAGGATGGAGTTTGGGAGTTCCCTACCATGTGTTCAGGGATTCAACAAGAAATTAAGGCACTCAATAGTCTGTAAAGATTTTTAGATTGCTTAACGTGCACCTCCATCATCTCAGTAGAAGGGCCTTCCTTCACAGGTTACCTGTTGCTGGTGCGCATTAACTTTGGTTGAACTATACCTCACGATATAGCCCTGGGTGACCTGGAAGTCACTAGTGGACCAGGCTGGCCTTTAACTCAGAGCTCTCTCTCTGACTGCTCCTGAGATTGAAGGCATGCGCCACCGCGACTGGTTTGTGTGAACAGAGCTTTGCTGAAATAAAATACCACAAAGACACAGTCGCCCTCTATTTTTATTATTGTCGTCTTGTTACAGAAGCCCAAGATTACAGCGATTTTTTGTAGGAAATCATCCCGGATGCCTAGACCTACCGCTGCGTCGTGGGTATGCGAGCAGATGATGCCGTGGGCAGCAAGGAGGCATTGGTGTACTCCTTTCCACATGCCTCCCAGTCCTCGCGAGTCCCCGCCGGGAAGCTGTCACTTCTGCTGCGCGGGCCTGACGTCTGTGACCAGGTCTCCAAGAGCTAGCGATGCCAGGAGCACGGACGAGACCCTCTTCCGCCGAGCCTGGGCTCCGCAACCGCCCCGCCTTTCCCCTTCCGCTCACTCGGTTCCCGGAAGCTCCTTCCGCCTCTCACGCATGCGCAGGTCCGGCCTTGCCTCGCGCTCAGAGGAGGAAGACAGGTGGGGGCGTGGCTGCGCGTGCTCAGAGCAAGCGAGGACCGGAACGCCCTGCGCGGCGCGAGAGTCCTTAGCGGTCGTAATTCCCAGGTGAGGGGCTCTCGGGCTTCCGTATCCGGTCGGTTCGCAGCGGGCGGGCCACCCTCCCTCCATCCCTCCTCAGCGTTCGGGGTCCGTTTCCTCGGCTCGGAGCCCGAAGGAGGCGAGCACCCGGGGTGGGTACCACTGAACCTCCGCGGGAGGTCGCAGGCTGTCCTCAGCACCGGGGTCCGCCACCTCGGCCTCGCCCAGCCCCTCGGGCGGCGCGATAACCGCTACAAAAACGGCGGGCGGGCGGGCGGGGCCACCACCCCTCCCCCGTGGAAACCGTAGCCCAGCCCGCAGGATGCGGGAGGTGGCGTGGAGGCGGGGTGCGAGCCCACTTCAGATGTGGCCACTGCTGCCCATCTCCGGGTGCTTGAACCCGAACCCACAGGCTTTTGACTTCTACGTCCCAGAGTCTGGAGAGGGTGCTTACGCTTACTGGGGTCGTGGACGAAGCCTAAAATTCCTGAAAAACGGATGTACAGTTTGGGCCAAGATTTCTGTATGCCCAGTTTGGGGCCCTGTTACGTGTATCGATAGATAATGGCTATCACAAATGGAGAAAATGGCATTTTTAATTCCAGGTCATGTACGTATTCTTTCTGGTGTATTGTGAAAGCACTTTTATTCGTCTTACTAGTTCTGCATGAGCCAAACATCAGTGGCCGAGTAGCTTGCAGGTAGCTTTGACAGAAGCCTGTCTGGACCCACCAGACGGTCATTAAGGTCCGACCAACTGTCGTTGAGTTTCATCCTTTTCCGGTGTGTTGTAAGATAACCTATAAAACCGTTAGATTTTCTTTCCTATTCCCCAGTGCGAATTGAATTGCAGCATCTTTGATGTCAGCTTTAACGAAATAACTGCCAGTGAGTGAGCTTGTCAGATAAGTTTTCCTGGAGATGAAGTTGAATCAGCTGCATAGGTTCTTGCAGCCACAAACCCCCAACCCCCGGCAGAAATTCTGAGTGTAAACACCTCGGAAATTTCGTATGAACGAGGACGTGGGCCACCTCGTGAGGAGAAGAGAAAATCAGCAAGTAAAGTAAGCTGAAAACATGATGGTTTGATTCGGTTTGCATAGGAAACAAAGTGCAAGAACCTGGACTGAGTCTTAAGTCTCCAGTCCCCTTTGCGACTAAACAGCCTTTAAATGTTTACCTAATTTTTGTAGATGTTTTTTAGACTCTGGGGGTGTAAAGGCGAACAAGACAGAGAAACCCTGTCTTGAAAAACAAACAAAAGATTCAGTGGAATCTCTCCTAGAAAGTCAATTTTTGTCTCCTCTTAACTTTTTATTTCTATATAAACTGTGTCAGTTCTATAAACTTAGCAAGTAAATTACATAAATATTTAGAAGCTTGTGTCAAGTCTGTTGAGTCTCACGGTTGTAATGTGAAAGCCACCTGAGGCAGTACATAAACCCCTGGATTGAGCGGTCTTCCAGTAAAACTGTCAGCATAAACATCACAAGCCAGGGTTGGTCCTGATAGTAGTTTGCTGGCCTATGACCTAAATATTTTAATGAAATAATTTTACTTCATGCAGTTTTTATCTTACAAGTTAAGTCTGTGATTACTCACATTTCTACCCTTTATGTTCATTTGTTTTTGTTTTTTAGAGACAGGGTTTCTCTGTATTGTTTTGGAGGTTGTCCTGGAACTCACTCTGTAGACCAGACAGGTCTCCAAATCACAGAGATCCACCTGCCTCTGCCTCCCGAGTGCTGGGATTAAAAGATTTTTATCTTTATAAATGTCTGCAAATGAAATTGTGGTTCAGAGTTTATGGCTCTTTCATGTCTCTGAAAACAAATGTCAAATGTCTTTTTTAAAACATTTCAGGTGTTAGAGAGATGGCTCAGTAATTAACAGCCAGAACTGCTCTCGCAGAAGCCCCGCCTTGGGTTCCCAGTACCCACTGTGGTGCCTCTCATAGCAACCTGTAACTCTAGCTCTAGGGGACCTGATAAACTCTACAGGACTACACAGGTACATGCACACACATGCACACGCACGCACATTGTAAATGTTTGTATCACTGGTGCTGATGTCCCTATTCCCTATACAAAGATTCTAGTAAACAGCTCAGTACTTCAGCTCATAGACATCTAGTAAAAAAGACATGAAATCTCTAATTTGAACTTAAATATCTCATTGAAATTTATTTAAAATATTTGCAAGGACTTCACCTGACTTCTACTGCAAGAACTTCCTATTCATAAAGTTAGTTTACAGCAACAATAGGTATTTCTGAACTGATAAGTTTAAATCTGTTTGTGAATGGAAGCGTGCCCGTTCCTTTGCCCTAGATTCCATGCTTCCTTTGTTAAAGTTACCCTTATAAAAATTTACCCTCTTTTAGGAGTACAAGATACTAGTGTTGCAGAGTCCTGATGAAAGAGATATTCAGAAAAGATAACATATCTTTAAAAAGTATATCATCTACACTTGCTGTTAATTGTTTTGATAAGGAATGAAAGGGATTCATGCTTTTATCTTTTAAAAAAATTAAGTGTTTTATAAATGATTTAAGAGAATAGACTTTAATAGCTATACAGATAAATGTGATAGCTAAAAACTACTCTAGATATGTGAGGGGTTACTATCTTATTTGTTTGCTAGGGATTAAGATCTCTGCCTCAAAATTACACTCCCAGTCCCCCTCTGACAATTTAAATTTTTAGTTTGTAAAGAAGGGATTAATCTATGCTAACATCTTGAATTTTGCCGGGTGTTGGTGGTATACTCCTTTAATCCCAGCACTCGGGAGGCAGAGGCAGGCTGATCTCTGTGAATTGGAGACCAGCCTGTTCTATGGAGCAGAACAACAGAAGTAAAGAAATACTTTCTAAAGGCTATAGCTTTAACGTAATGTTTTCAGTTTAGTTCTAATTTGGTTGGGGTAGTAAGATATTTTACCTAAGTTTTAAAATCACTGTTTATGTGCATAAGCCCATATGTCAAGTAATTTATGTAACAAAACAGTGTCCTTACTCCATACCAGAAATAACTATTTACAAATTTAATTCATTTCTTCTAATGTTGAATTTCATGTTTCTAAATGAAGTGCTGTTGATTTTAGACAAATGGCTACCAACTGTAAAATGTCTCATACCAGACCCCCTTTAATGTGGTGAGTCATGTATACTCGTCTGCAGTAATATTTCCTGTGTTGTGTCATGGCTTGTGATTAACTGTTAAATTTATTTGGAAGCTACCCATACGGCCTGTTTATGTATCTTGGGGTTTCTGTTGCTCAATGAGAGAGGCTGTGGGGTAATTTAATAGCAGTCACTGTTCTCTGAGTGCTTCATCTTCAGTGTGCAGTAGCAGAACAGAATAGGATGGATACTCAGTAAGCAGGACGGTGCGGAAGCTCACTGTTATACTGCATTATCGACACCAGAATAATTGGCGCTTGAAGTGCCTTAGCTGATGCCGTGAAGTTTTCATATCAATTGTGACTATTAATTGTGATTACTAGTTTGATGTGATTAAGACACACCCAGGAGAGAGTGACAGCACACCTGAGTGTATCTGTGAGGAGATTTCCGGGGACAGTTAAGTCAGTAGGACTTTAACCTAATGGTGGATTCATTGGGTTGGTGGTGGAATTTGAAGAATGGAGCCCAGTGAGAGAGTAAGTAGATGACCGACTGGGAGCATCCTGTATCTTTGCTCTGCTTCTTGGCTGCCTTGGAGGATCAAATCATAAATTGTTCCTTGCATTATTTTCTTGTGGTGTTTTGTCATAGTTAACAAAACAAATGACTAAAAGCCTGTCTTTTCCTCATTTAAACTTAATAGTACTATACAGAAATATTTCCTTTGGGTTAAGGTACTGCTGTTTGTGATATGCCTTCCCTGATGAGCTCTTGTCTTCTTGTGAGCTCTAGAACTGTTGATATAACTTGACACCCCTAGAACTCTATAATGATGACTTCACACACTCCTTTAATTTTTAATAGTTCTCTTTTTCTCTATTTGGGGGCAGGGCAGTGAGACAGGGTTTCTCTATGTAACAGCCCTGGCTATCCTGGAACTTGATATGTAGACCAGGGTGGCCTTGAACTCATAGGGATCTGCCTGCCTCTGCCTCCCAAGTACTGGGATTAAAGACGTGCACTACCACTGCCCAGCCCATACTTCTCTTTTTGTACTACTAACATTTCTCATTTGGGGAAAATAAAAATGAAACATACTTAGAAATTACTCCAGTCTGATGGTTGAACTTTTCTCTTGAACTTTTCTTCGTTTCAGGTATACTTTTGACATCATGGATCGATTTGGAGATATATCAGAAGGTGAAGTTGACCATTCTTTCTTTGACAGTGATTTTGAAGATGCAAAGAAATGTGACAGTAATTTAGTTCTTGACAAGCAAAATGATGACTTTAAGGAAAGAATAGATAATGACACCAAAAATGTAAACTTGAAACTTGAAATACAAAATGATGACCTTAAAGAGAGAGTAGATAATGACGCAGAAGATGTGAACTTACAACTTGGAATACAAACAAAGGAAAATTACCTCACTCAGAAAGGAAATGAAAGAAAAGCTAAAGTTTCCTCCAAGGAATACCATGTAGAAAATGATCCTACACAAACAAGTTCCTCATTGTCGACCACATCTTCAAGATCAAAAAAATCGTGTGATGCTACAAAAGGGCATAAATTACACCTGCCTACTCCAAATGGAATTCCTAAAATTGTAAAAGGTGAGGATGATTACTACACAGACGGAGAGGAGAGCAGCGATGATGGAAAAAAATGTCATGTGAGAGCCAAGTCAGCTAAGCCCTCTAATAACTTAAAAAAAAACATAAATAAAAAGTATTCCTCCTCTTCTGTGTCTTCCTCATCTTCAAGATCAAGTTCAGACTGCTCAGATACAGGGTCTGATACCCATAAATCTGATTCATGCTCATCATCAAGGAAACCTATTTCTGGTGCAGCCCTCTCATCACCGAAACAAAAGTGTAAATCAGGAAGGAAATCAGCATGTGTACAGCCTTCCAGCACTAAACAAAAAACTGCTAACTGTAATGAGGAATTAGAAGATACTGTAACAGATGTAACTCCTTTGTCAACTCCAGACATCAGCCCTGCCCAATCATTTGAATTGGGCCCATCACATGATCAGAAAGTAAAAGTTAAAAGGCAAGAAAATGTGAGCCGGAATGTGTATGAGGGTGTGGAGCCTTTAAAAAATGATTCAAGGCCTCTGAAATCAGCCAAAAAGAAAGAAAAGCATGTGCAGAATTTTGCTCCAAAGTCATCAGTGTTAGATGCAAATCTAGACCATAGATCTAAGCAAAAAGTCTTACATGACACCATGGACCTTAATCATCTGTTGAAAGGTAATTTTTGAAATTCTGTATATTAAATCTGAAGATTAATAACTAAAATATATGCTATAAATATAAATATGCATGGATTTTTCTGGTCAATGTCTGAGATGATTGACATTTTAATAACTTGCCAGATATAGTCCATTATACCACAAAAGACTTTGAATATCATTTGAATTGTCAGATAATTGCAAAGATGATCAATTCGGCTAGAAATCTCAGACTAGTTTTCAAACTCTAAAGTGCTTACTTACCACTATTGTGAGGCAGTTGTGTCTTTATTTTTGGGCTGCCAGTAAGGATCTGCATTAGTTTTCACCACTCACCTTCAGACATGACAATGTCCAGAGAAACAATTCCTCTAGCTCTTGGAGTACAAGAACCTTTTAAAGAAGTATCTCCTAATAATGTGCACTCAGTTCTCTTTCTGCATATTGACGTAGTTGCACTCTTCATTCCCGAACCAGTCCTTGAACAGAGAGAGATACCCGAAACTAGTCACCCTCTTGCTGGAGTTAGGACTGGGAGCTGGAAGGCCCAGGATCTATTATGGAGGAAGGTGAAAATAGGTGCAGATTGGGCAATTAGGTTTGCTCACTGCAATTTTAGGGTGCTCCTCGAATTTTAGGGTGCATATAGATCTCATTCAAATACATGTTCTGGTATGGTAAAAGTAGAACCCAGGGAGCTAAACTTTTAACCCTTCCCATTGCAGTGTTTCCTTCATGTGTACTGAGAATTAATTTTTTTAAAGCAAGGCTAATGATTTTAGAGAGACTTATGAGGACAAAGCTATTGTAACTAATAAAAGTAGCCTTGACTTGCTTTATACGCTGTCTGTCTGCTACGTGTAATCAGTGGAATCTTCGAGATGACAATACAGCACACAGTGCAGAAGCAGCCATGAGAAACCACCTGTCTTCTGTTGAACTAGGCATTTAAACATGGACAGAGGCGTTAGACTCTTCCACACACATTTTTATAAAAAAAAATTAAATTCTGTTTACGTACTTAGTGTGCGTGTGTGTGCGCGTGTGTGTATAGGAGCACAGATGTGCCAGAGCATGCGTGCATAGGTTGGAGGAAAATTTGTGGGAGTCAAAGTCATGGAAACAGAATTGTCATTTCCAGGCTCTGGGAAAAGGACAGAGACTGATGAGGGTTGCTTTATTTGATTGGTTGGCCTTTTTACGATTTAGTTTTAATTTTCCAACATACAGCATTATGGAGAATGAATTGTACTATCCTTGAATATTACATCTAAAAATAGGATGGTAAATTTAGGATTTTGTCTATTTTGCTACAGTAAAAAAGGAAAAACACTAGTTCTTTTGATACTTTGTTATGCTAGCTGTAGGTACTCATTAAATACCAGTTATACTGGAAGAGGATAAATCAGCAAAATCCAACCAAAAAGGTATTTGATAGTATTAAGAAGAACAAAAATAGAAGCTTGAAAAGATGTAATGTCAGATAAGTTTCCTCTAAAAGGAGAAAATAAATGTATCAACCCTATTAGTATGAAAATAGATTTCAAGTTGTGAAAAGTGCTAAAGGGGACAAAGAGTTTTATATTAATACATAAGCCAAGTACACTGAAATATATACTATGTACATGTATATGAAATCATACTACAATATGAGCATAAACTCATATTGACATATATATATACACACACATAGATATACATCTATATGTAATATTAGAAAATTATAATGAAAGCAAAACAGAACTGGACAGTAAATTGATAAAGATCAAGCTACCAAGGAGTATTAAAAATCAGACTAAATAACCAGAAAGATTTTTTTTGAAGTGTTAACTGTGCACGTGGGGCTGCACTTGATTAACAGGTACTGGCTCTGGGATACACCTGCTGTTTTTTTTTTTTTTAAAGAAACGTATAAAATAAGCAGTAAATACTGCTACAGGACTAGTTACCCCAACACTTGTAGACTAGAAAGACTCCAAAGTAGGAGTGAGCCGGTGCCTTGGGACAGAATTGCTGAGTGCTTGTCTACCCACATGTCAGGTACCGGGACCTGGACCAAACAGAGGTTGGGACTGCTAACCAGAGAGCCCACTCAGTCTCTGTGCAGCTTAGTCTTCTCACAAAGGCCTAGCTTCTTCAAGGATGGTGGCTTCAGGGTTTCAGGAAATAAGACAGCCATCTCAGCCATTTGTGACTTGCTTCTAGTCACGTAGCATCCTTTTGTGCTTGTTTGGTTTCTTTTCGATATGGACTCAATATGAGACTTAACTGGTCTAAAACTTGCTATATAAAATCCAGGCACAAGCATTCCTACAAGCAAAGAGCATGCACCGTGTGTGTGTGTGTGTGTGTGTGTGTGTGTGTGTGTGTGTGTGTGTGTGTGTGTGTGTGTGTGTAGAGCTCCTAGCCTTGAAAGTCACATACTGGGCCCAGGTCTCATATCAAGGAGCTCACGCCTATAACTATACCCCCAGGAGCTATTACACCTCTATTGGACCTTATGGGCACCTCTAGGGACTATTACTCCTCTATGGACTTTTTGGGCACCTCCAGGGGCTGTTACTCCTCTATTGGACCTTATGGGCACTTCTAGGGACTGTTACACTTCTATTGGGCCTTATGGGCACCTCCAGGGGCTATTACACCTCTGCTGAACCTTATGGATACCTGCATGCATATGCCAAACACATAGACACACATAGACATAAAGTTAATCTTGGGAGCTAGAGAGATGACTCAGTGGCTAAGAGCACTGACTGCTCTTCACTTGCATGTGGGTTTGATTCCTAGCATATATATGGCAGTTCACAGCCATCTGTGACTCTAATTCCAAGGAATCTACACTCTCTACTGGCCTCCCAGGGTACCAGTCATGAATATAGTACACAGGCATACACACAGACGTAACACCCATACACATAATATAAAATTTAAACTAAAATGAAAGTAAACTAAAATGAATCTTTAAAATTTTATATCTAAAATAAATTAAAACTTAAGTCATACACCATTTTGACACTATTCTGTTGGTCAGAACTGTTAGAAGCCTACAAAAATTCAATGAAAGGGAACACAAGAATGCCACAAAATTCCTCATCTAACAGGTTTTTAATTATGAAGACAAATAACAAATCTTGTAGGACTGGAGAGATGCCTCAGCAAATAAGAGCACTAGCTGCTTTTCCAGAGGTCCTAAGTTCAATTTCCACATGTGGCTCACAATCATCTGTCATGGGGTCTGACTCATATACATAAAATATGTCTTTTTTTAAAAGAAATCTTGTAAATTTAGATCTTATGACTTATTAATGTTGGCTTTTAAAAAGAAATCTTTTTAAGAAAATCAGCCTTATAAAATAACTGTAGTGGGTTTTTCTATAGAGATCATGACTGTCTACAGAACAGATTTTTATTTTGTTATTTTGAGATGGGTTTATGTATCCCAGAATAGCCTGAAACTCACTATGGAGCTGAGAGAGGCCTTGAACTTCTGATTCTTCTGCCTCTACCTCCCAGTGCTAGAATCAGATTGCACTACACGTGTGTACCGCCATTGCCACCCAGTTCTGTGAGACGCTAATATCAGACCCCAAGCTTTGCTAGCTAGCACTCACCTCCAGCCCACCGGAAGGATTTTTAAAAGAACTGACACTGGAGGAGTGGAGACAACGTCTTAAGTGTTCTCTGTTTCCGGTACAATGAAAGTAAAGCCCACACTCGTGGGTTAACTGATGCCAGAGGGGCTCCTTATGGTTATGGGTTGAGGATGGGAAGAGTTTATGTGGCATTGCTTCTCAAAACAGTATTCTAAATATATGTTAAGACAGTTGCATGCAATATAACTATATCTATGCTCCTTAAAGTTTAATGTTAAAACATTTTAAATGATTTTGAGACAATTGGATAATGTATTTGATACCAGTTTACAGAGCTACTTTTTTAAAATGTCATAGTAATACCGGCTATCAGTAAATAAATACTCTGTTTTGCTTTGCTGTTTTCAATGAAGGAAAGCTTAAATACTGCCCTTCAGAGGCTGTTGTTTGATTGTTTAATAAGCTAAACTTTTTTTTTTACTGTTGCCTTTTTTCTTTTAAAAAGGTGTCATTAGGAAATGTAGCTTAATTTCCTTCAAGAATGAGATTTTAAAGAATTTCATACATAGCTAAATTAATTTAACATAGTGTATGAGAAGCTTTCAAAACATGTGCTCATTCAAGTGTTGTCATTTACTTGGTGTGTTTTTCAACTACCACATTACCTAATTATCGACCAGTAATTCCTTGATTTTTCTTGAGGAAGCTATTGTTTATCTGTTTTGTTTGTTCCTATAATGTTGAGTAGTCTTTGTTGTAGTCTTTGTTATAAATTAAGAAGTAAAATTACTGCTTTTGTCTTTCGCCCAATTGATTGGATTAACTAACTGTAAAACGGGAGTTGAAAGTACGGCTTCCTTTACGGCACTGTATCTAATAGGATAAGATGCTGAACTAGACATGTAAAAAGGAATAGCGTGTAGTCAAGAAGCAACAAACATTACTTTAAAAACAGTATCCTAAGGACTGTGGAGATGACTAGTAGTCGTTGTTGGGCACTTGCTGCACAAGGCTGGTAACATGAGTTTAGTCCCTGGAATGTGCTTATATAAAGGTGGAAGGAGAGAGCCGAGTCCACGGGCTGTCTCTCGTCTCCAAACACACTGGGGTACACCCTGACAAATAGGGATCATGCGCACACAGAATAGTACAGGTTTATAATGTTACAGATATCATAAAGCCAAACCAAAACTGCATTTGTTAACCTGATAAAATAGATTACTACCTTAGAATGTGCTGAAGTAGAAACATTCACCAAGCTCAGCGGTTTTGGAAACTTTTCACAAGTGGATAGTAATAGTCATGCTTACTGAAAATTTTCGTAATAATTTTCTAAGCATGTTGTTAAAATTCTTTTCAGGCAGAGGACATAGCTCAGTAGTATGCTCACCTAGAATGGACAAGACCCTGGTTTCAATTCCCACCACCTCCAAAAATCATTTGGTAATCATAGTGTGCAACTTTTTTCTTGGCTAGGAAATATCTTTTATATAATGTGTTCATTTTGGCTTATGCTTAATACAAAATAGAATGTTTGGCATTTGCAGCAGAAGTACTTTAATAATATTAAATCCATGGCTTTCATGGTGTAATACTTTCAGATTAAGTTGTTACTTCTAGACTGGTCTGAATTTATTTTTGCCAATGCTTCCCTCAGTCATTGCCAGGAACATCTGCTGTTACTGGTGAATTATGCCCTCTCCTTAACAAAAGGGTGTACCTAAAGTATTGCGTCAGTGTCTTCAACCCAGAGGTTCCCAAAGTCCCTAGCTACTAACACTAACACTGCTGTAGGAAAACAAAACAGAGAAAGCAAGAATAGTTTCTGGCATGGTGGTGCACACCTTTAATCCCAGCTCTCGGGAGGCAGAAGCAGGCGGATCTCTGAGTTCGAGACCAGCCTGGTCTACAAGAGCGAGTTCCAGGACAGCCTCCAAAACCACAGAGAAACCCTGTCTCGGAAAACAAACAAACAAAAAAAGTAGTTTCTGTGAATTAGCTGCCTAAGAACTAGTATCACATACATACCTTAATAATTCTGGTATAAATCCCTGTTTGCCCAAAGGGTCCAGGGAACATAAAACTCTTAGCTACATCCAGGTTTTTTTATCCTATACAAATAAGTTATTAGCTCATTTCATACCTTTTATTAATTTAGTTTATATTATTAAGAATTAAAGTATGTACCATCATAGCTACTTTGTTTAGCTACTTTCACTTTTTTGTTTACTTCTGTAGCTTTTCTGCAATTAGATAAAAAGGGACCACAAAAGCATCACTTTGATCAGCCTTCAGTAATGCCTAGGAAAAACTACTCTTTCACAAGAGAAGAGGTGAGACAGATTGATCGGGAAAATCAGAGGCTTTTGAAAGAGCTGGCAAGACAGGCTGAAAAACCAGGGAACAAAAGTGGGATTCCTGGAAGATCGATTGGCCATCCCCCCAAGTTATATCATAGTGCTCTCAACAGACAGAGGGAGCAGCAGAGAATTGAAAGAGAAAATTTGGTAAGTAACACATCATTTAGTCATTTAAAAAATTGCATTTGTACCGACTTGTAAGTACAACATACAGAAAATCCAAGTATAGCCAACTTTTCAAATTTAGTTACATAAATGCAGGTATAGATAACATGTGGCATAAACTATGGTAATTTGTGAGTCTAGAAATTAACTGTGTCTTTTTCTTAGCTGGCAAAGTGTATATTAAGGGGTCATTAAAAGAAAATACTGCGGGAAGCAGAGGCAGGCAAATTTCTATGAGCTTGAAGACAGCCTGGTTTACAAAGTGAGTTCCAAGACAGCCAGAGCTACACAGAGAAACCCTGTCTCAAAAACAACAGAAGAAAAGAAAATATTGGAAGTTTCATAGGTTCCTAATTAGATTAGTTAAATCACTGCATAGTGTCAGGAAATGGTACCCAGGAATCAGATGCACAGATTCTTCTGTGATGTATCTAGTCACTAGCTAACTCTGCTTTACCCCATAATACCCTGGAAATTCTGTATGGGTTATTTTTAAAAGATAACAAATTTGGTACTCAGCTTGAAATGAGTGCAGCATTCATAGTTATGAAATATATGGTTACTTTGATATTTTAAAGAAAATATACATGCATACATAAGACTTGAAAATTTAAACTATTATAGCATATCATTTTCCTCACTAAATTCAGCTTATAGTAATTGATATATGTTGAACTTACTGAACACTAGGACTTGGTCTAAATATCCTCCACATATTAGCTTATTGAATCTTGACAACTTAAAAACTGTTGTAAACATGAATAAACTAAAACCTAACAGGATTGAATAATTACCCAAAAGGAATACCTGAGCCAAAGTCTTAACTCTAGGTAGTCTCTTAAGTAAATAGAAATTATAAACTAAAATTAGACCTCTGTAAGTTTGTAAGTTCAAACTAAAATGAGTGTAAAAGCTGTTAAAGGCCGGGCGGTGGTGGCGTACGCCTTTAATCCCAGCACTCGGGAGGCAGAGGCAGGCGGATCTCTGTGAGTTCGAGGCCGGGCTGGACCGATAGCCTCCAAAACAATACAGAGAAACCCTGTCTCGTAAAAAGAAAAAAAAAAAGCTGTTAAAGGTAAGGCAGTTCTAAAATTGACCCGCATGCTTCAGCACCAGTGTGCTTCTGTTTAAACCTGTATGAACTTGACCTGGTAACGGATTCCAAGATAGTCTTAAACACTGGAAGAGAGTTATCCCATACATAGCAATGAGTTTTGTGTGTGATGGTGCACAGTAGCTCTCTGCACATCATGTAAACGGTATTTGATTCATGTTTTGTGAAATGAGGAATTACTAATGTCATAGAAATTAGTGTTTATTTTTGTTTTCATGTGTCCATTTGTCTCTGAAGCCTGTTTTAATTGACATTTATATGCTTTTGCAAATGTTAGGTCATTTTGTCCTCTATTGTATGAGATGGCATGGCATGAGAGAGGATGAGATACTGAGTAGGACACAGGGAACTGCTTCAGCTCAAATAGCAGGTAGCAGGCACTAGATTCAGGGTTAGGTCATCTGACTTGGGTTATTTTATAAAAGCAGCTTTAATTTAAATATAGTTTGTATACCATATCTACTTTAAGGGTACAGTTCATTGAATTTTACTGTCTTGTTTGTACTATAACATTTCTCTATTCCCATTTCCCTCTAGGTCTTGAATCATTATCTGTCTTTATGAATTGGGCAGTATTTCTCTTTTTGTAGCTAGCTTATTTTACTTAATGCGTTTTCAAAATTTATTCATATTATAGCATGTATCAAAAGTTTAAAAGGTTACAGATGATCGTGAGGTGGTGTGAGGGTACTGAGGATCAAGCCCAGGTCCTCTGCAAGAGCACCTTCTAAAACTGAGTAATATTCAGTTGTAAAGTGTAACGTTCTGATTATCCCATTTGCTGATGGATACTTTAGTTTCTGTCTTGACTGTATAGGATCACTGGTAAAAGTGTCTATTCAAGTCTTTGCTCTCATTTCTTTTAAGCGTTTATAAAATTGCTGAGTTATGTGCTAGTAATTCTGTGTTTAGTTTCTTGTTTTGTGTTGATTTTAAGATAGGGTTTCACTGTATAACCCAAGCTGACCTTAAACTCTCCATCGTTTGGCTGCCTCCTTTCCTAGTGCAGACAATCAGTATAGGTGTGCTTTTTAAAGATCCTGGACTTAAAGTTGTAACATCTCGATCCATTCGTGTCTGAATATGCATCATATTTATATGAATATGCATAGATGAAGACTGTCAGCAGCTTCTATTAATAGCTTTCATTATTCTTCCAGGAATGAAATTTTAATAGCAATGGGAACTGCCAATATTTTATCCTTATTTGCTCCATATACATTATAATTTACATATGTAAACAATATGTTCTCATTGGTAATAACTTACTACACATCAGAACAGTTGTGAATTCTTTTAAATAATGTTTTGCTTAACTGACTATATGATGATGTTTTATTTAATTTTGTTTGCTCATTTGTTGGTTCTGGAGGTCAAATCCAGGGCTTGCATTTGCTGTCACTGAACTGTCAGAGCTACAGCACCAGCCCATAGAATACTGCCATTCAGCAGGTAATCAGCATCAGTGATGAGGCATTTTTACTTTTCTATTTGATAAGTTTGAAACTTGTGTGTTTTATACATAAAGCACACACACACATCTCAGGATTAGCTACACTCAAGAATGTATACCACATCTGGCTAATAGCTTTTTTTTTTTTTTTTTTTTTTTTTACAAGACAGGGTTTCTCTGTATTGTTTTGGAGGCTGTTGGTCCAGCCCGGCCTCGAACTCACAGAGATCCGCCTGCCTCTGCTTCCCAAGTGCTGGGATTAAAGGCGTGCGCCACCACCGCCCGGCTGGCTAATAGCTTTGAACATTGCTGCTCTGAAATTGAAAACTAGTTGATACAGAGTGAAACCAAGGAACTTAAACAGAAAAACATAGTAATTTATTATGTTACTGTGAAGAAAGTTAATTTTCCCGGCTGAACTCTTCATTTCATGCCTTCTCATAACTTTTATACTTCTTTTGTATTTAGTCCTAATAATGAAACATTTTTCTTAAAATACTTTGTGTTTGTTTCATTGTCCTTGATGTACATTTTAATCGGAGAGTGTTTTATATTGACTAATGCTTGTTTCGCAGTACTGAGGATTGACCTAACCCTTGTACATCTGGAAGTGCATTGCTCCGGACTGAGCCCTGTCCCCAGTTCAGTACTCCTAAAATAGTGCCTTGCTGTCGAAATGCAGCCTTTCCTTTAAAGATACTTCTTGTAACCCACAATAGTAAAAATTCGCACTTTCTCCAGACTCACATTTTTGTGCTTTGTATAGTTTTCATGTTTCTTAACTGGTTGCTTCTATTATTTGTTTTTAATGTTTATTTTATAACCAAACCCTTAGTTATTTTTCTGTTTATACACACAACACACACACACACACACACACACACACGTAAGGGCAGAGGATAACTTGAGTCATTTCTTTCCTTCTTCCATGTAGGTTCCTGGGATCAAACTTAGGACATCAGGCTTTTGTGGCAAGTGCCATCTCACCTGTTCCCAAACCCTTATGTAATAGAGCCATATTGGCTTTAATTTTTCTCCAATATGAGCTAATACACATTTTAATCTGTTTGCTGGCTGACTGTAATGTAAGCTCATGCACATGCATGTATATACACACAAACACACACACCCCATGTGTGCATCAATAGTTAGTTCTTTGGCCAGTATATACACAAACAAGGTCTACTGATTCATAGAATATATTATTTCTATCTCCTTATTTGTCCTGTCACTGATGCCAGAGTAAAATCTGGTGGTTAATAGGCATGATTATTAAAGCATTTATGTTCCGATATTCATATTAACTTGTTGACACTTCAGAAGCTGAAGTGGTCTCTAATCAAGACCATAAGGTGCTGTGCAAGGAAGGTGTGAAGACTATAACATGGAGTCCTAAGGTTCAAAGCAGATTGTTAATATACCCTACTAAATTTCAAGGTTCTTAATATCTTTGTCAATGGGCAGATCTAGCATCCTCTCATTGAATATTGTATCCAGACAAATATCAAGAGGGTGTAGAAGGTACTAAGTATTGATGCTTGTTCAGTCCCAACAACAATAAGGAAAGGGGGAGGGACACAGAGAATATGCATGTGAATAATAAAATGCAGTTTCGTTCAGCAGGGTGTACTTTCTTCATATTCACTCAGTTACATCAAGACGATTCCTAAAACAATGACCAAGTTTTTAAGATAAGAATTTTGAAATGCCCTTGTTAAAGGATGGATGGATGGATGGATGGATGGATGGATGGATGGATGGATGGACCGACAGGCGGGCGGGTGGGTGGGTGGGTAGATGGGTAGATTGACGGACAGGTGAATAGATAGTTATCATTTGAACATAATGCATATTCTTTTTTTCCTCAGAGAAGTAAAAATCGTATTAGCAGAAGAGTTAGCTCAGTGAGGGTACTTTCATACTGTTTAACATTGATGTCAAGTGAGATTTTTTTTCTAATGTATATAGGTTGTGTTTGTTTCTTTTTTCCTTCAGGTAAAAGAGGCAGGGGCATTCTTGAAACAGTGTTTGGGATGAAATAAAGGTCCCCCCAAGTGGTCATGAATAGAGTCTACAACTTAAGTGAATTAATTTATTCTTTTTTTTTCATTTTGCTTCTTAAGGGTGTCTGTGTGTGTGTGTGTGTGTGTGTGTGTGTGTGTGTGTGTGTGTGTGTGTGTGTGTAAGGGTTTTATCCAGATAAGTACATAAAAAAGTAGACATAATTTTCTACTTCTGAGTTCCCCTATGAATATATTATTTTTAAAGCTACAGGAATGTGTCATACACTTAGAAGTTTCAGATCTTAAAAACATCCAGTAGAAACTATGAGTCTGCGGTTTACCGTAACCTTATACTAAAATCTTGAAATAACTTATAGTTCACTTACTGTTATTTCCCTATTTCTGTGCTTATCCTTCTGTGGCAGACAGAAAGCTGACTATAACTCATTTGACTCCGGCTGGGGAAAATGTGAGAGGCCTTGTCTGTTTTCTTTGGCTTTTGGACACTTGTTACTTTTTAATAACCTTTCAGAGTCTTTGCTTCACCACTTTTATTTTTCATTCTTTTTCTTTTTTGGGGGATGGGGGTCCCCTGTAGCTTTGGAGCCTGTCCTGGAACTTGCTCTGTAGACCAGGCTGGCCTCGAACTCACGGAGATCCACATGCCTCTGCCTCCTGAGTGCTGGGATTAAATGTGTGTGTCACCACTGCCTGGCTGATTCACCACTTTCAAAACAATAAATTAGTCTCCACTACATCGGCAGAATTGTTAACATTCATCCATTGTATCAAAAGACAGGCAGGGAGCCGAGCCGGGCGGTGGTGGCGCACGCCTTTAATCCCAGCACTTGGGAGGCAGAGGCAGGCGGATCTCTGTAAGTTCGAGGCTGCGCTGGACCGACAGCCTCCAAAACAATACAGAGAAACCCTGTCTCGAAAAACCAAAAAAAAAAAAAAAAAAAAAAAAAAAAAAAAGACAGGCAGAATTAATTTTTTCCAAGAATTCCTGGAAAGTGTATAAAGGAAATATGTAAACAGTCATAAAGCAGAAGTACCACCTGTCGTCACTACTCTACATTAGGTCTCCAGACTTTCTTAGACTGCATACCTGAAACCAGGTAGACAGGAGTAGAGCATAATTCTCACCCAACACACACAAATGGAAACTGTGAGATGAAGTGTTGACTAGAAAAACTGTAATGTGTATATATAGCAAAATAGCATTCTTTGCCCTAAATAGACATGATTTTAAAAAAAAATACAACAAAAAAAATTATTTGAAATTCATTCTTGGAGTCTGATTTGAATGGCAATTCTATGGTTTTGTAAACCATAATTTGGAATTTAAAGAACCATTCCAATCATTTTGATTTATTAAGCAGTAGTAATGTCTTTGATTGTCTGTAAAGCAATAGAAAATGTAAAATACTGCTGATTGTCATATAATTCATAATCTAGTCTGAAGATGATCTATTGTTGTATGTCAGACAATTAGAAAACTCTACAAAGCAATGTCAATACTAACAAAATCCTTACTGCAGTGGGTTTCTAGCAGTGCATGAGTACTCTTATGGGCACTTAGTCATCTCACTTTTATTCTGACCCTTCATGCCTATCAAATAATTTGGCTAAGAAACAGTCAATGCCTACACTACTGTGTAACCCCCAGTCTCATATTAACAAGCTAGTGCTAGCATGTATAGAGTATGTAATGATTAAATTAGGATAAGTAGAACTTCATCTCTTTAATGTATGTTGGGCCTCCAAATTCTCTTCCAGTTCTTTTTAAAATATTCAACTTTTATAAACGTTTACTGTCATCCAGAGCACTAAAACTTAACCCTCCTACTGAAGTTTATTTTAGTGCCTGGTAACCATCTCCCACTGCTTCCCCTCCTCCACCCTTCCACACTTAGATGCTTGCGTCTTTTGTCACTGTTATATTTGTTACAGTGTTACAACTATCGCTTTTTAAGTTCCATGTGCTTTGGAAAGTTGCAAGGAATCTTTTCTCTCTTATTCCCTGTTTCTGCATAAGTGGCCTATACCTTCATCTTCATAGTACAGAATGAGTTGTGGTCTTGTGGGGCTTGTTTTTAACCTTATTGGGAAATTATTTTAAATTTTAATATTCATCATTATTTTTGTACTGGCAAATAAGCATAGGATTTTCTTAAGATTAAAGAGGAAAGGTGTTCACCCAACTAGATAAATAAACTCATGAGATCAGAGGTTTTATAGACATTACTATTTTTTGGTACATGGTCTGAATGAATCCTGAGCTGTCCTGGCTTCACGTTCTTTGTGCATGCTAAACTTAGAGATTAAGAACACTTGGCACTGTTGCAAGGAACTCAGGCTGAGCTATATTCTCCGGCCAACATTGTCCCCATACTACAAAAAAAGAGAGAGAAAAAATACATGAACACATAAGTTTAGTAGGTTAACTGAAAATGTCAAGATTTCTGTCGTATACAGTTTAATTGGTAGTTATTAGGATAATCAGAAAAATCAACAAATATATCTTTGCCCAGTAAAATGCATTGAAAATATATTACCTAGGAATTTTGTTGTGCAAGATCGTCATTTTAGGGAAATTTGGCAGCTATATTGTGCATCTCCTCTGTCTGCAAAGAAAGATGGTATGTGATTTTAGAAAGAGCATGGAAACTACATTCAGATGGAACAGAGTCATAGCCTGACTCTGAGCTCAGTAAGAACTGATGCGAGCTGGGAGGACTTCACTAGGGAAAGGCTGCTTTGCTGGCTTCTGAAGGAAAGCAGGACCTGTCTCTGCCTGGACGTTATCTCTGCTTCATGTGCTTTTGCCTCTGAGCTGTTGGTCACACGCTTGGGTTTCCACAATTCTTTGTTCCTCTCTTCTAAACAGTGCCTCCCCTGAATACTTTGGCTTAGTTTACTGCCGTATATATCTTCTTCAGAATTGCTCAGAAATTCTGGTAATGCAGTGACAGAACCTCGGGATCAGGGGGCAAGGGGGAGCTGGGGACAGCAGACGCCAAGCGAAGGAAGTGTTTGGAGATGAGTGTTACTGATGGCTCACGACCGTGAGGTTGGGACCTGCGCAGAGTGAGTGATGTGCTTACATTGGTGCGCAGCACAGGCAAAGAAGGAAAATGATTATGTGAAGAAAACTTGGCCTTTGCACTCGTGAGGCTGATTTTTTAAATGTGCGTCTTAGTACATATCGGCATACTCTTCAGATAAAAAATCAGTTTGCATCAGAAAAGGTTGTGAAGAAAAGAGTAAAGCAGAGCTGTGAGTCGATCCTCGCAGCATTTGGTCTTCCTCCATGTTCCTTTCTCACAGGCCTCTGAAGAGCAAAAGCTTTTGAATTTTGAGTTAGAGAATGAGTGGAGCTGGAGGGATGGTTTGGTAAGAGCACTTCCTGCTCTTGCAGAGGACCCAAGTTCCCTTCCCAGCAACTACATGGTGGCTTACAACTGCCTATAACTTCGATCAAATACCATCTTCTGGCCTCTTAGGCACCAGTAAATACATGGCATCCACATATACTCCAGGCACACACATATACATATATAATAAATTCTTAGTAAAATAAGGAATATTTATATTACACTTGATCATATTGAAGGAAATACCTTATTATCAACCATGCTGCTTTGCCTGTTGATTTGTATGTCCTCTGAAAGGCTCTGTATTCTTTAGTAACTGCCTGTCTAGCTTCGTAACAGCTAAAGCACTTCTTTTCCATAGTAGACTTTACCCAGAGTCTTAAGTATGTAAAGAAAAAGTACAGAAAACAATTGGACGGGCGAAACTGTGAGAGTGGGGCTCGAGATGAGAGCTCACGAAGCCTTCCTTTGGTGTTCTGAGGAGGGAGGCGTCGCTGCGGTCAACACTCTGTCTACCGTGGATAGGTAGAGCTTGTCGTAACTTTGATAACTGTTGGGGATTTCAAGGGTTTAACTTTGGACTGTTAGCATTATAACTCCTATGTATGATATTAATACAAGGAAATCAAGTTTACTGTATTTGAACTTGCAGTCCCTTTCCAAAGACTGTAAGCTGGCATATTTGTCATGAGTGAATGCAAACTACCTCTGGCTACTGTGATAGTATCTGAGATTAACAGTTAGGAGAGATTATAATCACAGCGTTTTCCTCTTCCCTTTCTACCCATCCATATAAAGAGAGTGAGCCCTCCTCACTGTCTTTCAAATTAATGGCCTCTTGTTTCATTACTGTTACATATATATGTATATACATATATTCATATATATATATATTTCTGAATACAACCTACTCACTCTGTATAATGGTACTCGTCTGTATATTTTCCGGCTGACCATTTGGTATTAACCAGTTGGTGTGCTGTTCCCTGAAAAAGACTGTTCTCCCACTCTAGCATTCCTTAGTTGCCTGAAGTTTTTGTGGAGGCTGAAGCCCCAAGAGCTTTTCCCTATCCACCTTGGTATGATTTTTTTTTGTTGTTGTTTTTTGTTTGTTTGTTTTGTGTGTGTTCAGCTCCTGTTAGTGAGACTGTGTGTGTATAGCTTGACATTGCTGGGAGACCACAAGTATCACGGTAAACTCCCTGATCTTACAGTCTGTCTTCAGCAATGTTCCCTGAGCTTTGTTTTGTAGATGTATTCATTAGGACTGGGCTCCACAACTGCATTTTGATCAGTTGTGGTTTTCTGTAATGTCTTTTCTGTTACACAGAGAAGTTTCCTTGATGAGGGGAGATTACACTTATCTGTGGTTATGTGGGCAAATATTTAGGGTGGGTATACATTTTTCAACCTAGGTAAGAAAATTTCTGGCATGTATGGAGTGACTTAACACTGTTTTTCCTTAGAGAATTTCAAATTATAGAATATCTGACTTTGTAGAAATTATTGGCATTTATGTAGTATTAACTTTCATATTTTTTATCAAGGCTTTATTGAAACGGCTTGAAGCTGTGAAGCCAACAGTTGGCATGAAACGCTCTGAACAGCTAATGGACTATCATCGAAATATGGGTTACCTCAACCCTTCACCATCCATTAGACGAGTGAGATCTACTCTTGGCCACTACAGCCCACTGAGTAAGAATATAAAAAGCTATTTTCTATTTGCTTGTGTTATCTTTTTTTTAAAGAAAAAGTGTAATTTATGTTCTTATTATAGAGATTTAAAATACTAACTTTGGAATGCATTTTATTTTTTACTGGCATGTTTTTATATTTCACTTAATGTAATGGTAGCATAAAGAGAAAACCAAAAGATAAAATGAGTGAAAATAACAGTTGTCTCAGACACTGCAAGAGAGTGTTTTAATTCTATGTGTTTTTAAAGAATAAATTACTAGTTAGGCTACTGGAATGTGACTGAATCATTCTCTAGCCAGTTATAGACAGTTGCTAATACCTTGTAACCCTTTGCATGTTTCTTTTTTTTCCTCACTAGGTAATTAAAACTACATATGTAATTCTTTTTAGTGCTTGAGATGTGATTAGTTACAGACTTAGCCCTAGAGATGTAGGAATTTAGTGCCAGAGTTTACAAAAGATAGAAAGGCAGACACGTTCCTTTATAGAAGTTGATGCTATAGCATCATGTACATATTCTAAACTATATTTTTCTTAAATATGTACAACCTGTTACTAAAGAAAATTGGACCTGGTAGTCCTAAAATTTCCCAGTGCTTATGTGACTTAGTCACTGTGACTGGTCATCTCACTCAGTTTAAAACATGGTTTATTATAGTGACTTAAGAGATGATCTTGTTCTAATAACTGAGCATAGAAAACTATTTGTCAAGTAATCATATAAACAATTATTCAGAGTGTTTTGTTTTCACTTGAAACACTTTAGTAGCTTTTAAGCTCCACAGGGAGTTGTAAAGTACACTTCTATTGGGAGTCATTTTATTAGGGTAGTAGACATATCTGGGATGAAGAGGAAAACCATTCTGGACTTAAAATTAGGACAGGAAGTTTCTCAAATGATAGCTTGTGCACATGGTTCAGATCACTGAAATTGTTTTATCTTTGTGTATGTTCAGGAGCTTCCAGGACATCCAGTGCAACGAGTGGTCTCAGTTGTAAGACTGATCGATCAGTGTTGGACACGTCCAGTGGTTTTTTGCTAAGACCGAAACCCCCAAACGTTCGTACTGCTTGGTTGTAAAGCCTTTTTTTTATGGTATACATTGTTCATCCTATTTTAACAATGTATTTTTATGTATTACTGTAATTCTTTGTAAACATCTGTAATACCTTTTTCAACAATTTATACAATGAGTATAATTTATTGTTAATCACTACAAAATTGTTACCAAAACACACTTTTATGTAAAATCAGTGTTTCATATGGTAGCATATTTATAGGAGCTATATGTGTATTTAATAGAGAAAGGTGTTATGCATGAATATTTTCTCTATAGAAATTCACTTATGATGCTGACAAAACAGCAGTGCTGATAATCCATGTTGACCCAAGACACCCACTCTGTTTTTACTCTGTTGTTTTCAGTTATTGTAAGCATGAACATAGGTGCCTCGGGCTTCCATTGCTTTAGAATGTCTGTAATGTGCGTCATCACACATTACACTTGACTGTGTGATTGTTACATTCCTTATGAAGAAAATCTTGACATTGTTTTCATGGATGAGCTGACTGTGATTTGGTGAGGAGGTGAGCAGCTTGCACTGGTGCAGTTCTTGCTTCACCAAAGGTGCTTCTTGTAAGAGTTTGATTATCCACTCCACACCATTTCACATTGAATGAATCCGGGTTCACTCTAGGAGCTCCTGTTTCAGTCATGTAAAATACTCAAGGACTCTGAGGGAAAAGGTGACTGGTTTGCATAGTAAACAAAAACAATTATCTGTTAGATCAGTGAGCACTATTCCCAGCCAGAAGAGCCAAGAAGCAAATCCCAGGGTATGTTAGAGTAGTGTTTGAAATGATACACTTAGTACGCGTGCTGTCATTGTGTATTCATTGTATTAATAGAAGGCTTAGAGTAAGGAAGAAATGCTTTAGAGAAACCAATAAACAAGAAAGAAACTAATCACACATTTGTTAAAGCTAAATATTTGCCTTAAATATCAGTGGATTTGCTTGGTTTTGGTTTGGCTGAATCCTTGAAGCACTGTTTTTACCAGTCTCACATTTAAAGGCCTGTTTATGCTGATGGAATTGCTAGGGACACATGACACATGGGTGCAATATAGTTGATGATGGAAACTGAAATATTTTTCTGTCAACATATAGGCTGTTATTTTATGGAACATACGGTGACAATTATTTGTTGTGACTTTTTCATTACTGCTCTTGTTAGTATACCTTTAGGACATACAGATAATTTTGATACTCAATCAGACGTTTTTCTTAAAATAAGGATTTCCCCAGCTCTGTCTGCTTTCAGTGCTCCAGCGCTGTAGCACGTGCGCCATGCCCGCTTCACCGTCATTAACAGGAAGGCCGGCTGCACCGCACCAAATGCCAGGTCATACATTGTGATCTTAACTTCAGTGGATTGTGTTTCAGATAGAGCAGCAAAGGTTGGCGAGGATGAGGCTAAAACAATTGCTGAGCACATACACCACACACACACACACACACAGAGTGAGTGTGCATATACCACACACGTACAAACACAGCACGATTGAGGGTTTTCTAATGCTTTCTGGGGGCTGTAACATTCTTTGACAATGTGTTTCTGTGTTCTAATGAACAAGATTTTCAACCTGCTTTGTATAACCTTCAGCTGTATAAACAAAGGTTTTATTTTTGTCTTAGTTTTTTAACTCTGAACTTTTAACGTTTGTGTAACAGCAAAACGCAGCATTTTGGCATTTGCCCTATAGCGAATTAATCACTTTTTAAGACAGATTTTTGAGGTAAAAATGTTTATGTGTAAAATCTTTTATGTTCACAGTGGCATTTGCCTATAAGTACATTTTATTTGGTCTCCAAGTTTCATAGATAAAGCTGTACTTTGATTTTAAAAGCTAATTTATGCCTTAGGTTTTACTATTGGAAAGAAGTTTGTCTAAGTATTACTGATAACAGATTCAACTTCAAGCAAAGAGCAACCATCTTTAAAAACAATTTACAATATTATTGTAGATGCATATACATGATGACTATAAGTACATGGGTAGGAATTACAAACTTAGAATTCACTGATGTAAGTCAAAGTACTTTAAGGTAAGGTTAGGATTTAGGAGGCATTTATAGTGGAGGTGTCATGAATACACGAATCTCTTCAACTTCACCAACATAATAAACACAAGTGGGCTAGGGCTGTGGTACAGTCGGCTGGCTTGTCCTCACTGCACATACTCTGAAGATCTGCATCTGCAGTAGAAAGTATGCTGGTCTATGACTAGTGGCCAGATCTTATTGAGAACAGTTTTCATCTCTGTCAAATGCTATCTCCTTTTCTAGTAAGATTTGGTAAAAGATTCAAGCTATTAGATTTTTTTCTTAAGGCATAACTACTACCTCTTTCTCCCCTAGTTTTTTCAGTCTCTATTAAAAACTGCTCCTGAGAGCTATTCCAGTTAATGATTCGTGGTTTGCTTGTAACATAAAGTCATGCAGCGGTGTTCAATCCAAGCCTCAGAAGGCTTTGAAAGGCGATCGTGATAGGTCAGCTTCTCACCTCCAGATCCATGCAGCAACTCCAGAGTATTAAGGTTAACGTAAAGCTTAAGAAGAAATTTTACCTTAGTTAGCAATCAAAAACTATCATTTTGAATGCCAAAGTCTTAATGTAAATTACTGTATACCATCATAGAGAGTGTACATACTGCTAATGGCTGAGTTGCTTATTTTCATGAATAAAGATTATCAAGAAACTTTTAAGCCATCTTTCTTTAAAAACGTCTGTCATATTTTAGGCATGAAAAACTAGCTTGGCCTAGTTAAAAAGAAATAAAAGATTTAAAGAGAACCAAATTTTTATTCTGTTTTCTTAATATTTTTAGAATTAGAATGAAAATTCCTGTGAACCATATATGACTATTAGAATGAAGTTGGCAGTTAATATTTTTGTGATATTTCTTTGTGAAGTTTCTTTAACATGACACACCTGACCAGCATTTCTTTGAACCATATGATTTGACTCATTTTATAAAATTGTTACGCTTCAGTATAACGGACATTCTTTAGAGCTTGACTGAGCGTTGCTGTTGTTGTGTCGCTTTAAGTTTTACTTTTTTTTAAAGCAGGTTTGCTGCTGCCATTGGGCTCAGGTGGTTGAGCACCTTCCCAGCCCCTAAGCCCAACAGGCAGAGAGCTCAAGTTCAAAGTCATCCTCAACTACAGTGAGGTCCAGGCCAGCTTGTGCTATATGCTGAGGGATCTTGTCTCAGACCAACTGGAGCCACAGGAAGAACTCTCTCCATGGCTCCCACAGGTGCATAAACTCTTTCTCTGCACAGGTGAGGGGTGCATAGCACAGAGTGGCCTGTATTACGGCAGGCAGTTTTGGTTTTTAAATACAGAAATGGTTTTTAGGTTTTCCCCTAGAGGTTGACAGTAATCTCTATTGCTGAAAACGCCATGCAACTGATGTGCATGGTGTTCAATCCTTCAACCATTGATTGAACACCATGCACACCGGGCCTAGAGGCTCCTGAGCTGGAACTGACATGAAAGCGAGTCTTCCGTGGGGACTCTCTTTCATGGTACCCGAAGGAGCATGCAAGTTTGCAAAGGAAGTAGGCAACCCACATTCCTCTCCAGCCAGGAAGCCCGTGAGCCACAACAGTGACAAGAGTGGCACGGAAACAGAAGGGGGCAGCAGTGTCACGCTTACCTTAGCAGTAACCCTTCAACAAGAGGTAGACGCCACCCGGACTGGAAACGTAGCTCACTACTCCATGCTACCGAAGTCATGGTTTTTAGGGGAGAACCTACAAACCACCACTTACTGAACCAGCATAATTCCTAATTACACACTTGTCAAAAAGAAAAAAAGAAAAGAAAAGCCCCAGACTGATGGCTAGGAAGCCAGCACGGGACTGATCCAGACACCCTGAATTGTGGGTGTCAGTGAGGAGGCCTAGGCAACCTATGGGGCCTTGGGTAGCATTTATCCCTGGCGTACAAATAGACTTTGGGTGCCCATCCCACAATGAGGGATGCTCTCACCCTGGACGAATGGTGGAGGGCCTAGGCCCTGTCCTGGATGAAATGACATACTATGGACACCCCCATGGAGGGCCTCACCCTCCCTGGGGAACAGAGTGGGGATTGGGTTGGGGACTGGGGGGCCTGGTGGAGGGAAGGGAGAGGGAGCTGGGATTGACATGAGAAGCAAGCTTGTTTCTAATTTAAATTTAAAAAAGAAAGGAAAAAATGACTATGAAACAGAAATTCTTCAGAAATCAGTGATTCCCACAAATGTATATTTTTAAAGCTATCACTTTTGCATGATCTGTGGCCTCTGGAATGTGTATGGAGGTCAGAGGACAATTCTGTGGAGTCGGTTCTCCTCTACCTGAGTGGGTTCTGGGGACTGAACACCATCATACATGGCAAGTGCTTTTACCCACCAAGTCGTCTTGCTGGATCCCAATGCTGTCTTTCAGAGCTACTTCCAGGACACAGAATAGTCTATCTCACAGCCTCTAGCCTTTTGTCCTGCTGAGTCTGAAACTGCCCATTAGGCCATTTATGCCTCCTGCCTCTGCCAGTACTTACTAACATCTGTTCACTATGAGAGCTCCCGAAGGACCACCTCCCAGAAAGCAATCTGATAGGGCAGACGCCATCCTTGTTTGTATTCAGGGCTGAGCACGGCATGAGTGCTCAAATGATAAAATTAGAAGGACGATGGATGGAGTCAGTAGCCCTAGTTAACACTTGCTATCCCCTCTACTTTTACCAGCCCATCTTCAAATGTGTGTTGGTTTTTCTTTACTCGAGGTGGGGGAAATGTCCATACCTGATGCCCTAGCTGCCCTCCTGTATTTTCCTACTCTGTTGAATCTGATTTGATTTCACACTGGTCCTTCTGTCTGTAGTGCTCTTTCAGCCGTCTTCATGGTACATTGCTTTTCTGAGGGCCCAATGTAAGCTGGCACTCCTGGACTGTGTCTGTACTGACACATACATCTAGCCAATGTGAGCAAGCCCTCCTGGATTGTCTGTCTTTACTGACACGTACATCCAGCCAATGTAAGCATGTACTCCTGGACTGTGTGTACTGACACGTATATGAAGCCACAGGTCACTCTCTTTTATTCTATCCCTCTAGGGGCCAACTGTATTCTGAAGTTGTCACGCCAGATTCTCATTGTCTTTCTCTTGTAATAGTCCTAGAACTTGATTGGACTGAGAAACACCCAGACTAGACAAGTGCATTTTCTGTCTATGCTGCTGTTTCTGGAGACAGATTGCAGGGGCTCTAAATCAATTCCTTGATAGACTCCAAACAGGATGGCAGCTCTGGGAGGTGGTGTAAGGTATCAGTGAGTGATTGGAGGATGTGTATCCCTGAGACATGGCCTATGAGCCATGTCTTCCCAGCCTCTTCCAATAGTTCCTGCTTCCTGGTTGCCATGTGATTATTTGACTCCACCACATCCTGTCCACGGGGGACTGATAACCTAGAAAACCCTAAGCCAATTCACCCCAAGTTGTTTCTGTCAGGAATTGTGTCCCTGTGACAGAGAGCTAACATACCCTGTCTTCTTCCATGGGAGCCAGCTTGGTTGTCTGTGACAACAAATGTTCGTGTACTGCCTTGTCCAGTAGTGGCACTAGGCAAGGGTGTGTGGGATGAGTATCTCCCCGCTCCTCCCACAATTCCCTATGATTTCAAAAACCCGTTCTGGATAGCTGTCAACTTGACATGGCCTAAAGCCGTTTGAGGAAAGAATCCAAAGTGGGGAATTTAGACCACACTGGCCTGTGGGCATGGTATGGGGATTGTCTTGTCAATTGATGTAGGAAGGTTCAGCCCACTGTGGGTGGCCCCATCCCCAGGGCAGGTGGTACTGGGCTACGTGGGAAAGCTAAGTGTGGGCCAGCCACAGCTGTGAGTTCCCAACCTAGTTGGAGGTAACTGTCCAGCAAACAAAGCTGCTTTCAGTTTCCTGCTTTGTGTCTCTGCCTTGATTTCCCTCAGTGCTAGGCTGTAAAATCCTTTCCACCCATAGTTACTTTAACTCAAAGTATTTTATCACTGGTAGAACGGAAACCAGAGTACCTAGTGTCTTAGTCACTGTTCTGTTGTTGTGAGGACACACCGTGACCAAGGTAAAAGAATTTAATTTAGGGTTTACTTACAGTGCTAGTCCATGATCTTCATGGCAGGCGGCAGGCAGGCAGGCATGGCACTGAAACCTTAGCTGAGAGCTTACATCTTACCCACAAGTTGGAGACAGAGAGATGGGCCTGGAATTGGCTTTTAAAACCACCATGCCTACCCTAACCCTTCCCCAAACAGGGACGGAGCATTCAAGCACGTGCATGTTTCTATGGAAGCCGTTTTCACTCACACCGCCGCACCTGGCTCACCTCCTTACTGCCAGACGGAATTCAACTATTCCTGTGAGGAAACACCATGACCAAAGCGGCTTGGGGAGGGTTAGGGCTTATTCAGACTATGCTTCCACATCGCAGTTCATCACGATTGGAAGTCAGGACAGGAACTCAGGCAGGGCAGGATCCTGGAGACGGAGCTGATGCAGAAGGCATGGAGGGGGGATTGCTACTGGCTTGCTGTTCATGGCTGGCTCAGCCTGGTTTCTTTAAAACAAAAAACAAAAAAACAGGGCCACCAGTCCAGGGATGGCATCACCCTCAATGTGCTGGGCCCTCCCCCATTAATCACTAAGAGGAGAAAAGAAAGAAAAAAACACCCATATCAGTGGTTCTCAACCTGTGAGTCTTGACCCCCACAGGTGTTGCAGATCAGATATTTAATTACAATTCATAACAGTAGCAAAGTTACAGTTATGAAGTAACAACAAAATAATGTTATGGCCGGAGGCAGCACAACATGAAGTACTGTATTAAAGGGTCAGCACAACTAGGTCATGTACATGGGAGGGTTGAGAAGCACTGTCCTATAGGCTTGCCCACAGCCGTTGTCTTTTGAAGGCATTTTCTCAACCGAGGCTCTCTGATGACTCTAACTTGTGTCAAATTGACATGAAATCAGCCAGTACAGATGCCAAAGCCTTTTCTCTCTCTTTCGCATTATTTTTGAACCGATGTATTTGGCATCTTTTTTTTTTTTTTTGATCCTTTAAAGTAATAAGTAACTTTGCTTTGGTGACGATTACTTCAGTTCATTCTCTTGCTTTTGCCCCTGATGATTTACGTTGGGATGTCTTTTGTGAAGATTTGTTATCTATTCCTGTGTGTTTGCCCAGTGTACCACACGCATGCAGGGTTGCCTGGGGATCCCCTAAAGCTAAAGTTACAGGTGCTTGTAAGTTGCAAGACATGGGTGTTTGAAACAGAATGAATTGGGGTCCTGGAAGAGCAGTAAGTGCCCTTAACCACTGAGCAATCTTTCCAGTGCCAGTACCTGTGGTTTGAATCCATTATGAAGACTTTTGAGGCTGTGGGCATCTCTGCGGTTTAATTTTTTTCTTTTATTTTGGAGGTATGACACATGTGCCATAGTGCACATATGATTAAATCCAAGGACAACCTCTAGGAGCCAGTTTTCTCCTATCATGTGAGTCCCAGGGATTAAACCAGGTCTTCAGGTTTGGCAGCAAGCATCTCCCTCTAGAGTTAACATGGGTTATCTCACAGGAGGTAAGTCTAGTTTGTCTAGAGTTATGACTTCGGGACTAAGAAATGCCCAGAGGTGGGTTTTTAGAGTCTGGCATGG